CATCCTTAATTATTGTTAACAAAACATGAATATAAGTTTTCATGCTACAATTACTTCATGAAAAACGTTACAATCACCTTTACACACCTTCTTGAATCCGCATCCTTCTTCGCCATCACGTGTCCTGAAAAGGTTACAAGATTTAATCTCCTGCATTCATAATACCTGTACCCAACTTTCAGGTAACATGAGTTCCTTCATGTTATCTCCTGGACTCTATCTAGGTTTATCTCTTTGTTGGGCGGAATTGAAGACTTCGTTCCAATCTGTTGACGCAGTTCGACCTTTTTGCGTAAGCAGTGAGTTCTTAGGGCGTCGCATTCGATTGCTTTTCATCTCTTCTAAAGCTTCCTTAGATTTATCTTCAAAGAACTGGATCATTTTTGATACACGACCCGATGAGGGTTCACATATTTGTTGGTCCTGCAAGTGTTTCTGTTCTTGCAGAAGTCTTTGTTCTTTGACTTTTGTTTGCATTTCTTTAATATTCGACGAAAAATTTTGATGGAAAAGACCAGATGATAAATGTTTCGTAAGATTCAATAGCTTATTATGCATTTTAAGGTCTTGCTACACTACCAAATTTTGAATTTTGAATTTTGAACAGAGAAATTTTGCTACAATATCTACAATCAGATTTTTTATTCTGAATTTTTGTATAAATTGATTTAATACGTTATTTTAAACATGCTATGTTTGCTTAGTTTATTATGCTTATTTTCATAAAACCATACTACTAAATAGATAACATATCTAAAATAAAAAATAAGACCAGCATATATTCGAACCGACTATGAGCACCACTTTCTAGTTATACATAATGTCTTCCTACGATATTGTGAAATGAATTGAGACAGTTAAATTTGAGACAATATTTCCATCAATTGTTCAGAGAGATCCAGCTATGTTTTTTTGATGAAAATACAAAATAAACTATCCAAAACTATAAGATGTTCCGCGGTGAACATTTACAGATGAAATTATATTTTGCACTAAATGAATGGCAAGGTCCAGAAAATATTCAGAAATAAAAATTTGATTGAAATTTTTATCTACTCTGATAAAAATCTTAGAAGATTTTCCTTAGAATGTATTTGCCGAAGGATAATATATAATATAACAGTATAATAGAAAGAAAGTAGATGCTGAACGATTTTTTGAATTGATGATTTTATTAAATTCTGTATGAGAGCCTGACAACTTGTAGCTTTTGGATAGTAGAGTCGGCAGCTTATCTATACGCCGAAATATATATCGTACAGAGAATAGAACTGTACAGGTACAGGGAAAAAATTACCAAGGTCAGATCAGTCGGAGGGGTGTAGTAAAAGTCGTGTTAAAATAAAGTGTGCCAACAGTGCTTAAATTTCTTCGAAGAAGGAGGAAAATGTAAAGATAGAAATTTCTACATTAAGTTTCTACTATACATAATATTAACAAAAACTGTGTCTGACTGTCAGCACATTACCCAACACCATCACACAGAAAATTAATTACTTAATATACTTAAATATAGTAAACATAGCCTATAATATAGACAAATATAGATTAGAATATCAAGTCAATACAAAAATACATAGAAATGCAAATATAATATACGTAAATAAACGACCCATACATATATATTGACTCATGATTAAAAAAATCATATTTTGTTAAAAACTATCTCATTAAATATATATTAAATAATGGACTTTTCCCGAGCTCACACTGGTACTGTCTATCAAAAAATTGATATTATTAATTACAACCTTTTCATTAGACATAAACACAACCCATTGATATAATTAAGATATTTTAATTATATGGTTATTACTGTAAATTAATGAATACTCTGATTTATTCGTTTAATTCCATTTCTATACTAATTAAAAACTTTAAAAACAGGGTACTCTACTTAATAATACATTATGGTAAAGTTTTTTTGTTAAAAATAATGAACTAATAAATTAATTATTTTATTAAAATATAGTAATTATAGATAACCTATGTATATAATAAATAATGAAATCGTCAAGTTAAATGTCATCAATAAAAATATTTAAATGCTGAGACGGGAAATGCAAATTTTTAAATGCAAATTTTCTCTTAACCTTTTGATATGTTTTGAATCTTTTTATTTAAGGAATGTAATTTCACCAGTGACTTTGCTTGGAAATAAAACGTTTATATTATAAACAATTACTTAAGTCCCTTGTAGCATAGAATAGAGCTTTCCAAAACACGGTCCACGGATAAAATATGTACGGTCCGCGACATGTTTCTAACCTATTTTCTACATTTTCCTTAATATATTTTGGTAAAATTACATTATTTTATTTTTATAGTATTCCAAAAAAAATGAAGTCAGATAAATAAATTAATAAAACTAAATTTAATATTAACAAATTTAACATTATAACAATATTTTTATTTTTTTCTGAGAAAACCTTGTTTCTGCGGTCCACCAATCTGCACAATGACTGGGCAGCACTGGTATATATAAGGTAGTGCCGGTAAAGTTTAATTAAGTTTTTAAAATCGATATTTACAAAATTATATTTTGTAATTTGAAATTATAATGAGTATTTATATAAATAGAATATATATATAAATTATGATATTTTTATATATTAATTTTTTGTACTAAGATATTTATATTCTATATATTTATAACAAATAGCTTACACTACCTAGTATAAGGTAGTACAGTTTTCGGATACTAAAATCTAACTTATCTATGTTATATCGAATGTTTTAAATCATGCATTTTCTAATAAACTTTTTTAATAATCATATTATGAAGAAAATTCTTACCTCTACTTATGGTATGATATTGGAATGCGAGCCGAAAAAGCAACTCCATATATATACCAAGGAAGTACTTTAATACAATTAATACATTGTAATAAATCGAAGTGAATAAATTATAACAATAACGCTTACACCCACTCCTAACCTATAACGTCATACCCTCCACTATAATTTTTAGTTATAAATTTTTGACTTTTGTACAAAATATATTTATTTACGAAAGATAAAGCAAGTATAAAACTTGTATTTGTTATAAAATAATAGAAACCGACAAAGGGCTACATAAAACGAAAATCCAATTTTTTACTTACATTAGTTTCAGTTTGGTTTTACACGTGCTTTATAGATTACTGCGTCATTCTTATTTTTCTCAATCCACAGAGTTACCACAGATTCTATACCGTACCTCTGGATAATTACCCAGCATCCACTAGATACACATGCGTTAATGCAATGCTTGTTTCCACTTCTTACTTGCAATTTCGTCACACTCACAGGATCATATATACATAGAAGAGATATTAGATCTTTATAAAATATTATTTTACTTTTTTGTTTATATCCTTAGCTCTACAATAGCTTCCTTTTTCTACGCAGAACCATGTGACAAAAACGCATTGCCAACATTATTTTAATTTAATTACATTCCATTTTTATATTCCACACATATATTCCACATAAAGCCACAATGTGAACTAAATCAATTAATGCTCAATTAGTTGATGTAGACAACGCAGAAATGCTTAAAGGCTGAGTTGTCAAATACTTCACACCGAAAATAATTAAAGGGAATTGCTCAATGGTTTTATCAGCTAATATAAGATATTCTCCATGTTTACGTCAAGAAATCAAAATTTAATTTGGTTCTTACGTTTTCCACTCTACTTCGCAATGAATAATGGAATGCGTTGTTTTCTTACTAAAGTGTTAAATCTTGAAATTTCAGATAATTTAATGTACCATACATTTGACTTATTATATCTCTTTAATATCGTATTTCTCCTATTATAATATATTATATATCTCTTGTTTTCACATTTAAAACTTAAGTCAACAGCTTTCTACAAATTCCTATTTATTAGCAATATATAAAATAAAATACACTAAAATATCAATATTACATATAATATATAATTCAGCTGATTCTTAAGTCACAACTAATTCAACTTTTCAACGTTAATTTCTCTATTGTCTGCAAATTTATTGTGTGCAGGGCACAAACATACAAAGGCAAAACAAAACCACAGAATAGAAGTAGGAGAACAAAAGAAAAAGAAGAATGTTTTTCTTTCGTGAAAGAAACAAAATTAAAATAACATTAATATAACAAAATTAAATTAACATTAACATGCCAGTTGATTTGATTTTTGGCCTATAGCAAAAAAAAATGTTGAATAAAGCAAAATATACCTTCAAACTTTTTGAGAAGTAGAAATTCCCAAAAGAGGTGCATCGTTTTCAAGGAAATGCAACTACCAAATATTGGTTAACCATTTTTTTCTGTAAATATATCAAAAACAGCTATCTCAAACTGTCAAAATGCCATAAAAAGCTTTTATCTATATGTTCAATGTATTTAGTTGCACATGGAACGTATTTGGAACTTATTTAAAACTCGTTGGAACTCATTTGTACAAAATCAGCAAATGGAAATCATTTGCGTACATGAGATTTTGTATGCAGAAGTCAGTTATATCCTTCTCATTTGTAATTTTTGACCCAAATCAGTCATTTAAGGCCATATTAGATAGTTGTTATAGTTTTAGCTGAATAATTCCCTTATTGTGTATTATATACAGTCATTTGCTTATATATATATTTTATCGCTTGTAGCATAATCATTAAGAAAGTCTAAATTTACAATTACTTAATATCTCGTAAGTAGATTTTTGCTGGAATTAATGAACTCAAACGATAAAGTGTGAAAAGTAATATCTCATTTGTTTGCAAAATATCTTTTAAAGCTTAATAAAGTTTTATTGTTGAATTATTTGTCAACAATAATTTGTGTTTTGCTAAAGCTTCTGTGTCTATTTCTATTCTAATTTTTACTTTTTGAATTTTACATATATTCAAAATTCTTTCTTTTCTTCCAAAACACTATTAATAATAATTTTTTTTTTGTATATTCAAAATTTTTTCGTTTCTTTTAAAATACTACTAATAATATTTTTTTTTTTTATCTGTTCTCTTCTTTTTCTGTTTATAACAAATATTCAAAATCACAAAAATTTTTATTAGCTGGTCACCTTAAAAACAAATTAAAGTATGAGAGACAATTGATAACAACAGTTAGTTGGCGAGTTTATTCCAAGTGAGAACACTTTTTCTGTTCTCTTTCGCAGTGTTTCTCGTATGCATACATTATTTTGTGTGCTTGCGGGGGTGACGAACGACGAGTAGAAAGAAGTAAGATTAATTTTTCATAGTAGATCAGCAGAAGTGAGCGGTGCGTGTGTAAGTGCATAAAATAATAAAAATATGTTATTGTTTAATATCTAAACAGTTTGTTGTGTATTTCGTAGAACGATGGATGTTATTTGGATCATTTTTTATACGCTTTTAATAGCGTTTATACCGTTCTACTTCGTCTTTTTGAAGCGTAATGCATACTGGGCTGACCGCGGTGTTTTACATGAGAAACCGGTTTTATTTTACGGTAACATGCGTAATGTTGGAAGAACGCAACCACTACGACAGCCGTTCCGTGAGTTATATGCGAAATATAAAGATAAAGTACCATTTTGTGGATTTTACATCTCTCTGAGACCAGCCGTGGTTTTATTCGATCTGGAACTAATAAAAAATGTGCTAATTAGAGATTTCTCCAAATTTGCTAATCGCGGTAATTACTATAACGAGAAAGCTGACCCTTTATCAGCACATCTATTTAACTTAGATGGACCCAAATGGCGTGATATGCGTGTGAAGCTTACGCCCACCTTTACGACGGGAAAAATGAAATTTATGTTTCCCACTGTCGTTGATGTCGCTAATAGATTTGTAACTGTTTTGGATGGGATTGTGAAGTCAGAAACGTCAGAATTAAGGTCTTGTAACATTGAAGTAAAGGAGCTGTTGGCGCGTTTTACAACAGATGTGATTGGATGCTGCGCATTTGGTTTGGAATGTAACAGTTTACAAGATCCAAATATGGAATTTCGTTTAATGAGTAAAAAAGTATTTAATAGTAGACGTCACGGTAGATTTGTCGGTGCACTGATTAGATCTTTTCCAAAAATCGCACGGATGTGTGGTGCAAAATTAGTGCACGAGGATGTGAGTAAATTTTTTATGCGCGTAGTACGTGAAAACGTCGAATACCGTGAAAGTGAAGGTATACAACGCAATGATTTTATGAATTTGCTGATTGAATTGAAAAACACAAAGGACCAAAATGCCTTAACGCTGGAAGAGATCGCTGCACAGGCATTTGTTTTCTTTATAGCGGGTTTCGAGACAAGTTCAAGCACAATGGGCTTTTGTTTATATGAGTTAGCTTTAAATCCATCTGTACAAAATAAAGCAAGAGATGAAATTGAAGAAATGTTTAAACGCCATGGTGGTCAATTGACCTATGACGGCCTAAAGGAATTAAAATACTTACAAAATGTTTTACATGGTAAGTGTGTAGCTTCAGTTTAGTTATATATAGTATATCTTATTTATTTCATTTGAAACAGAAACTATGCGTATGTATTCCATTGCTTCAATTATTATGCGTCAAACTGTTGAGAATTATGCTGTGCCAAATACAAATCATGTCATAGAAAAGGACATTATTGTTATTATACCCATTGATGCTATACATTATGATCCAGCAATATATCCGAATCCAACAAAATTCGACCCGGGACGTTTTGAACCTGAAGAAGTGGAGAAACGACATACTATGTCGTTTCTACCTTTCGGTGATGGACCACGCAACTGCATAGGTATGCGATTTGGTGAAATGCAGGCAATGATCGGTTTAGTAATGCTACTAAAAAATTTTCAATTTTCACCCTGTGAACATACTAAAATACCCATCGAAATAAGTACAAAAAGTGTTGTGTTGAGTTCCCAACATGGCATTTCGCTGGAAGTTAAAAAATTATTAGAAAATTGAAACTTGATCAATTTTATTATAAAAAAATGTATTACTCATATTTAGTAAATTTGTATTATTACGCTTAAATTATTGTGTCTACTGAAGTTTGTTATCAAATAATCAAACATTAATTACTTAAAAAAATAGATAATGTCTTTTTTCCACATTATGTACTATAGAAATGCTTTGGACTCTAATATCCAATGAATTTGCCATTTTGAAGAGCGAGTAGAGCTAGTTTAATTGAAGTCACACGTATGTAAACTTTTATGATTCATAAATACACACAATTGTTTGAATAAATATTTATATGTAAAAGTAAATATTTACAAAAATTAATTAATTCAATAAAGCTATAGAAATATATTCCACCTTTTACACCTCAACTTTGACAGTTGTTTTGATTTATATTAGAGAGATAATTTTATACTAAGGCCGTTTGCGAGTTCGAGTAAATTGATGGTAAATTGAGGGAAATTGTAAATATGTCGGTATGGCAGCGAATGTTGATATTTACCAGAATTTCGAGTAGGGTAAATTAAAAATACATTAGGTAAATTAGATGTTACCTTTGTTAAAATTTTATAAGATGTTTAATAAATCAATAAACAAATTTGAAAACATTCAACCAAAAATAATAAATAAGTGCAATAAATAAATTAATAAATATTTACATAAGTGCAGTGCAAAAAATCCCTAGGAAATTTCAATTTACTTTACCTCAATTTACTCGACTCACACATGGCCTCAATATAATTGTTATAAAATATTGTGAATGAGCTGTTTTGAGAGTAATTTTGCGGTTGAATAATAACTTTAACTAAATCAATTAAAAATAATTACATATTCAACAAATTATATTATATATGAAATGCTCACTATTTGTATGGTTTCAATTAGCTATTTTTGTAAAAATATAAAGAAAAAAATAAAATTATTTAATATATTCATTTATTTACAAAAGTGAATAAATATGTGCGAATGACTATGCACAAATAAAATTACTTGGAATGATAAGACTTAATCTTTCATTATTAAAAATGTAATAAAATTATCAAAGCCAAAGTAAATATACACTAGACATATACCAAGTAAGCTCTCGCTGACCCTATAAATGTAAATAACAATGCATATACAAAAGATGGTATTAATTTCTTTAATCTATTAAACTTTTAATTTCAATGTATCTTTATAGTACACCATCGACGTAAATTAAATAAAAACTGTTCTTCGACGTCATGAACTACAAGTGATTATAATATGTGTTGTGCTTTTATCTTCTTTGTCTCAAATTAGTTTTATGCTGGAGATTATTAATAATGATGGACTTAAAGAGAAATTCTCTATTCGTAAGCACAGGAATGAAATGCAGTTAGGGATCATGGGTTCCAGTAGTTGTTAGGTCGATATTACGGAACCACAGCAAGCTTCTTTCTAAATTAGAAAAATACATGGACTTTATCAACAAAAACAATATGGCAATTAAAAAAAATTCTTTTTTTCTATCTGTCAATAGAAGAATGGATGACGAATAAAGTGTTTTAGTTATCAATTCCTCGTCGCAGTACCTCACATCATGATCTGATTGACGGCTAATTATCGTTGAAGTCTCACAATTCACAAAAAAGTTGAACTGAGCAGACTAACTATGCAACGTAGAAGAAATGGTGTAATGATCTGGATAATTACGGGACTGAAACTACCATATAGTTATTTTGTTTAATAGGTATTAACTTTTAATTACAACGTTTGTTTTTGTGTATTTCCGCAAATTCGCTTTTACTTTCATCAGGAGAATTCCTAATAGTGGAATCTATTAGCCATTATAATTATTTAATAAACAAATCGACTTTACTTTATGTTAAATAAGTATCGACGTTACGATTCAGAACTAAAAAGTAAAATATTGGACTTAGCTAAAATATAATTAATTTATTAAATTATATTAATCTATTTGAGAATATAGGTCTGCAGCAGCGCTATAACCATTAACATACAAAAAAATAAGTAATGATTGGGAATAATCGCAAAGGGTAACTCAACCGTAGTGCAATGATCAAGTCTTGCTTCAGGGGAACCGTCTTCTTGATCCCGGTAACCTTTACGCCAAGTGATCTAAAGCAGCGGTATAACAATCCACTTAAGAGAAACATAGTAATGATTGACTTTAACTATAATCTCTCTCTCACGAAATAAACTAGGTAACACCCTTTATATGTAACGGAAATCTAATAAGCTGCAGATAATAAAATTGATAACAAAATTAACTAATTCAGATAACTACACTCAGAAAAATATGCTTTAACAATATACTATCTGAATTGACCTTATCAGTTTGTTAGAAAAATTTTAGCTCATGTTGTAAAGAAAATATCAAAAACCAACATGTGGTATGGTTGAACCAATATGATGAGTGTAGTAAGAATATTTTAATTATTTAATAATAATTTAAAATTATTTTTGTTAGTGTAACTATCTAAGCAACTGGGTGATACTTGGTGATTTACAGGTGTATAACAGAAGTATAATTATCATTTTGAAAGCTGCAGAATCAAGAAACACGGATGAAAGACTTGGTCGGTTCTCAAAACCGATTCTCAAAATCTCAAGAAAGAAATAGGATAGTTCACACGAATAAAAAACTCGTACACAATGTAGAAATGCAAGTTTTTAAACCACTCTTTAAGTCTTGTATTAGATATAATACAGTAGTCCATCCATGTCATTTTTATGCCAACCACTTTAATCTGCTTAGAAATAATATTATACAATAATAGTTTTTAATTGATATTTAATAACCATAACAAAGTTGTTGGAGAGGAGATAGGGTACTTCATGCACAAATAATAAATTCGTACACACAGTCCCTTAATTCTATTAATAATGTATTTTATGGGTAATGCCAAGGATTCGAAGGTCTATTATGTTATCGAGATTAATTTGCCTTAAAAAGTAATAGGTTAGATTACGCTATATCGATGATCCTTAGGATCCATTTAAACCTAAAAGCCCATCATCAAAATTAAAAACTATTTTGAACCTCTAAAAAATCTAAAAATGCTCTTTAGTGAGATGTCATGGAGCTGGCCAAGACACTCAAAGAAGACAACCCTTAGTGTAGGTAATCTTGAGTCCTTGGTATCAACTTAAGCCTATTATAAAAGGTCAAAAAACTATCTTGAACCTCTGCCAAATCTAAAAATGCTCTTTAGAAGAAACTTATACAGTTGACCAAGATCTTCAAAAAAGTAAGTCCACAGCATAGTCAATCGACGACTCGCTTTGCTTGAACAGTCACAAAGTAGATATGAGGCACATTCATTGTTCTTTCCACAACTACGACAGGTATGATTAAATGGAAGATTCAATCTTCTCCACAACTAATGGTTCCCTAAACGGTTATACACTATCAACAACCCACCATAAGACTAATATTTTTATGGGGCCTCTCAATGAAATTAATTGATTCTTTTTTTATACAATTCGACCTACATATCGTTGAGTGTTCCCACTTTGTATTACATTGATCAATACAGAAAGATTTCAACTACTGTTTGCATAAAAAATGATGTTATTTCATAGTTTCTTCTTAAATTAATTGACATTCTACTTTTCATCTATGAGATACTAATGAAAGAGAACAAGTGAACCAATTCCAAGATAATTAAACAACTTCAATATGTTAACTCCTTTTCTCTGATGGTGAAGTCTCTATTCTAATTTAAAATGTTTTAAATTATTAAATTATTTTGCAACTAAAAATAAGACTTCATTCAAATGTACAAGTTTTAGAATGAGATACATTGTAAATTATGTTAAGTTTTAAATAATTTAAAGTTAATGCAATTCATTTTAAGTCTATTGCATTAACTTAAAAAGTTTTTATTTAAAAATAAAAAAGTTTTGTAAATTTGCTTTTATGTTAATTGTTATTATTTTCTTCTTCAAGAAAAAGGTCAACATTAAAGTAAGCATGAAATTAAAGTTGGAACCAATTTGCATTTTTATATGAAGACAACATGATATCCCAACGCCACTGCACCGAACTTGGAAGGAAAGCAATTTTATTAGGGTGAAAAATTTAGAATAAAGAAGTTTCATTTTTTGTTACTCATCCTTATAACCTACCCGTAGATGGGGATTTCTACCGCTTGTTTCTGTTAACAGAGTGAGTAGTCATAGTTAAAAATAGAGGTATATTTTAAATTAATACTTAAATTAATTAAATTCATATTATTTGTTTAGACATGGGTCGATGATCCTAGAATTTTGGACATTAAATTTAAATGGAAGCTATACGAATTTTAAATCCATAAAAACAAATTAAGAAAAGTAATAGTAGAAGTCATAATTATAATAAAATGACAATATTACAAGACTTTACTTCCTAAGCAAATGAAAGTTAATTCAAATCTTCAAACCATGAAAAAGAATTCCACAAATATACTTGACATTAAAACTGAGCGCTAATAACAACATGCAAATTCTTATAGTTTTATAGATGCACTAAGGAGTAATATAATACTGTGCTATGAATCTCTACGGATCAGCTATTAACTGAATAATATAAAAATTAATTCTAAGAGAAATATTTGACTTCAGCGGCACTTGATGTTTGAATATTTGGTAGTCTTCATATTCAAATGATGAATCTGCTGGGTCTACCCAGTTGCCAAAGTCGTCTTTGAAGGCATTGTCTTCGATACAGTCTTTTATACTACGTCCACATGATCAAGCAAATTTGTAAAACAATTGCTCAAAACATTTATGTACATAAATAATCTCTATTATGCTTACTCTCTTCAGTTGTAGTGTTCACAGTAACGTATTCAACTTTTGTACGTCTCTTAATATTTTTATATTATATATTATATTTTTTATTAATTATTTGTGTGCTTTGTTCTAGTTCAAATATAAAAAATTAAATAAGTGGTTACGCAAAGACCGCATTATTTTTAATCGAATGCGTCCGCTATGCAAGACATGTACGCATTCAGTCTTCTATAAATGTACGCAAAATGTCTATGAAGATATTAGACTAATTTGTTCGAAAATGTCTTTGAAAACCGTCATACATTTGGATTGGTGGGCCAGACATGCGTACATCTCTTCAGGACGTCTTGGATGACGAATCGACACGTTTACTACTGTGTAACTAATTTATACACCAACGCAATGTTTTCGAGATACAACGATACATATGCATAATAGCTGCAAGCAAAAACATAGATATATTTTTATATGTTCTTGCTACAACTTTTATAACATTGTAACGTTTTCTAAAGGTCATCAGAACTTTTATTTAATATAGATGAAAGAT